GATAACAAGTTAGATATTATTAAGATAACATAAATTTTATCTATATTTTAAACATATTTAGAAAAAAACATAGGTTTTTGTAAAGTATATACAGTATTTTAAATTTATTTAAGTATACACTTGATATCTATCCTTATAATATTTGGTATCTAGTTTGGGATAAAATAAGCAATGTATTCATTTTTGATTGAGCGATCTTAAAACTTTACATTAAAAGTTTAAAATTACATCTACAGTACATATGCTTCTGAGTATAGTTTTTTATTTATTTATATATATATATATATATATATATATGAACATAGTATAATGTTTAAGAACACCTATATACATTATTCTGTTCTCATGAAATTCCCCACCTCTAGTTTAGACTACCGTTTCTTACGTTTTTTGGCTTAAATTTCTACGAATTGATTGGTTCATACTCACGTGATTTTCTTTCAGACGATACCTATTTTTATTCCTATATACATAAAATCAAAATTTTGTCTTATTTTCTCTGTATGGCAAAATATAAATTTTTAGTTAACCCAATGACAAATAAAATAATGTTGTCTTAGACATCAATCTTTTACAGTATTTAAAAGTGTAACGGCAACAAGTATAAGTAGCCAAAACTCTAAGCATGCAAAATGTATTTATCATATGACTATAATGCTGTCCAATACATTCTATCTATTCTATCTTTGGTTTTCTGCGTACAACATAAATAGATTGCATCATAAAAAACTTTTTTCACTATTCACGAGTGATTTAAGACTTTAATCTGATAACACAAAATTATACATTCGTTCACAATGGTACATGAATCTTTGAGCTTGTAGGTTATAGTAGTGATGAGTAGAGATGCGATCCAGATATCCGCTATTTTTTTCTTTTTTTTTTAATTTTGAACCGACAAAATGGATATGTTAAATTTCAAAATGCAATGGATAACGGATCGCGGGTTGGGTATAGTGGTATATAGCACATTCGACAACTAACATTTTACTCGTCCCCGAACAATGGTTCGTAATAGATATGCTACAAATGACTCGTACATTCTCGTACCATACTACCTTGATCCAACTATACCAGCTCACACTCTAGTTATAAACAGAAATACCGGTTCTTTAGTGCTTAGCGGTACTTTTAAACTTATAACGCTTTATTTTTGTGTTTTGAATAAAAATTTTTTTTTTAATTGTTATTTTATTAAAAAGATCGTGAATCATTGGTTCCAAATTCTAATACTGAGGCTCTGACAATATTTGGTATTTTTGGTGTTATAAAACTATTATCTGGTAGGTCAAGTTACGATTTTTTTTAATCATTATGATAACTTTGATTAACTTTATGATCCGATATCAGGTGAATATCTTATCGTAATCACTGGTCGAGAACGTATCGGAAGGTTAGGAAAACACGATATTTTCCAGGCGGATCAGTTCCGAATTCTTCCTTTCGCAAAAAATAATTTCCGTCTATCTGGACAACAGGTGTTTTATTGATTATTCTGAATTAGTAATTTTTCTTTTTCAATAATATAACGATATTTCCTAATTAAGGCGCAAGATGAGAAGCGTTATTTATCACTTGTTGAAAGTTTGCTTAAATCTGGTGCCTATTATTTTTCATATACGTATGATTTGACACACTCTTTACAAAGACAAGCACAATTAGGTGACTTAGGCTCGAAACCTTTGTGGCAAAGGGTACTGTTATTTTTTATTTTTTTTTTATACTGTACTAAAATTTTATTTGGCATCATTTGGGTGTATAAAGAAAGTGTCACTAAGTTATTTATTTTCTGTATTATTAATAGGCTGATGACAGGTTTTTCTGGAATCGTTACTTGCAATCTAAATTGATTAACTTTACAGTTAACAATCCTGATCAGGATGTAAGTTTCCTACTTTAAATTGTTTATTGTATAAATTAGTTATATTTAATTTGCAGGAATAATATAATTAGCTTTTATATTAGTTAAGCGATTTCATCCTTCCTGTGATATTTGGATGTAAGACATTAGTGTTACTTCATTATTATTTTATTTTTATTATTATACAATTTTTATAACTTTAACTTTTAAATGTACTTAGTCGTTTCAATTAGTAATGCAAGAATAAATAATAGAGACATTATATTTTCTCTAATCTCTCGTAGAAGCAGGCATCGTGCAGGTTCGTACCTAACATTACATTAAATTAAAAAATTCTGTACGGTTATTTTATTGTCATCTCTCATAGTTCTCTTTGTTTATATGTATTAGGAACGCGTTTTTTTTCGCGTGGTATCGATGATGAAGGAAATGTATCTAACTTTAATGAAACTGAGCAGTTAGTATTGTTGGATCCTCCTAGAGATGGCCGTATTATTACTTCACTTGAGGGAAAAATTAAGTTATCTTATGTTCAGACGCGTGGATCAGTCCCAGTTTGTTGGGCACAAATCACCAATATAAAGTATACACCAAGATTGCAAATTATGGATTCACCAAATAAGGTAATACTCTTATCTTCGTATTTAGTTGATTATTTGACATTGGCGGTATATTTTATTATTCTTCATATATCATCTATGTCAATTGTAGAACGAGGCAGTTCGCCGACACTTTGATGAGCAAACTAAAATATATGGGAAACAAATCCTAGTCCACCTTGCTAATAAGACGGGTTATGAATATCCGATGGGAGAAGCTTATGAGAAGGCAGTTAAGCAATTAGATGATCCTAGACTAAATTTTTATCATTTTGACTTTCATCATGAATGTCGAAAAATGCAATGGGATAGAATTCAAATTTTAATTGACTCTATTGAAGAAGAATTGATACAACAAAGGTTTATAAAAAAAATTTTTTTTTTTTTGACGACTTATTTTTTCTTAACAAGTTTTATAACTCTCTATGATTATATTATTGTTAGTTATTTTCATAGTGAAGAATCGGAAAATAATAATGTTGTTTACAAGAGTCAAACATCAGTAGTTCGTACTAACTGCATGGATTGCCTTGATCGTACGAACGTTGTACAATCTGCTTTGGCTAAATGGATGCTAACTCAACAATTGCGAAGCGTTGGTGTGCTGAGCAACAAAGAACGAATCGAAGAAATTGGTGATTTCATGGAAAGATTTAGAAATGGTAGGTAAAAGCATTTAACCATTTTTCATGTGAAAATTTCTCATCATAATAATGTTCATTTTAACAAAATAAATAACTCGAGGCCTTTTATCTCATTAATTTTTTTTTTTTTTCTTTTAATAACTGGGATCATAATTAATAATTTTTAATCCAGTCTGGGCAGATAATGCTGATGCTATTAGTTTGCCATATTCTGGATCGGGTGCAATGAAAACCGATTATACTAGGTATTTTTATTTTGGTTACATTTCAATTTGTTTGCTTTTGTAAAATTTGAAATAATGCTATATTTTTTTAAAGAACCGGTAAGAGGACCAAGCAAGGAGCTGCCATGGACTTACAAAGTGCCATTACGCGTTATTTTATGAACAACTTTATGGATGGATCACGACAGGTTAGCTTCTTATAATCGTAAGCAATTATTGACAATTTTTAATAGATAATATGATTATATATGTAAAACTTTATAAAATTTAGGATGCATACGATCTATTATTGGGCAATTATGAAGTTGAACTTGGCGTATCACCATTCATCGATAATAGGTCGTTTCAAGTTAAAATAGTAAGTTAATAAATTTATTATGTTATGTAATGATTTCTTACTGTAATTGTTTTATAGTGTCTAAATCGTTTGATCAATATAGATTCCTCAAATACTAGTAGCATGTATTATTTTCTTTTTATTTTTATACATGATTCCAAAATCTGGTAGGTTTTGCTTCTTAGTGATGATAACATCACTACCAACATTTTATTTTATCAATGTAATTTATTAACTTTCTCAATTTATAGAATTTGCTTACTTAATACGTCTCATCATGGTTATCGATTTTATTGCTATTACGTTCCTTATTCGCTACATTGTGGTACATGGAACTGATTTTGTAAATTGGCCTTGTCTTGTACCTCCGAGTTATCGACATTATCAATGGAATAATGCAACGTCTCACCAAAAAATAAGAAAAACAAGACGGCATAGTGATTCAGAGCATGGCGAAAAGATTGATTAATGTGAATAATCGAATAGATAGAATAGAAACTCATTTCCTTTTTTTCTAATTCCATTTTAATTTATTACTTTTTTTTTTTTTTAGAGTTTATATCATTATTTATTTTAGAAACTTATAAGTATTTATGGATTGGTATATATAGTTATTTTATTGGTAAATAAATTGGCAGGTATATTGGAGTTTGAAACAGTTGTATAATATACTCTATTAAGTCAAGAAATTAGATAAGTACTTTTGTATAATGACAACGTCTTTATTTATAAAATTGTCAAAACAGAACACGTCTTTGATGGTGCGAATGCGTTTTTGACTGATACTATATTGTATATAACTTAGTTCTGGCATTCATAGAAAATATTTAGCTCATGAGGCACTTTTTAGGATAAGATGAAACAGTATTTTTAGTCAGCTATACAGTAAGTACCGATTTCAAAGTTCGAAGAAAATTATGGACTGATCACGCTTCTCACACTAGACTTCTTTCTCATCTAATGCTTCGATCAAATTGTACATACCGTATTTGCACGTAATAACGCGCAGGGGTGTTATCTTGAATTTCGGCCTAAATTAAGCTTAACTCGGGCCGTGGCTCAAAATAACGCCCCTGCGCGTTATTACGTGCAAATACCTTGTATGCATGTTGACAAGGTCAACGGATCACAAGTAAAAAGGCCGCATTAATTTTCATGCAATCAAGGATGCCAATGAAAAAGGCCACCGACCATAATAGACATATAAAAAAAAAAACCTTTAAAATATTTTTTAACCCAGACTTATGCAAATTTACCATTTCATAGTAATTTGCTATTTACCTACTTAACAGCTTGGCTGCTTCAAGCAGGTAAAAAACCACAACCGATGTTGCTTCTCGTGCATTATTGTTATGATCCAATCCAAATGTTCTAGACCTAAAATAGCGTTGGTAATATCACGACAAACACGTAATTAAATTCGGCAAAAATTTTTTATTCGTCAAATTTACCAATCCTTTTAGTTTCAATGTACTGTACTGCGTGGGCTTAAAGTCCTTTAATTTATTTCTGGCATAGCGATAGTGAGTCTTGCACCTATAAATAATTTGACACGCCATTTGTTAAATTCATGCCAGGAAGCCACCCTAGCATGCATACCATAATATCAGTTAAAAAGATTATATATTGCAGTAAAAATTTCTGATTAATTAGATATATTATTTTGACTAATAAAGGTATGCCTAACACTGTAGATTTTAAACACAACACATTGTAATATGGCATGCATATGGCTGCTATGCCAAGTTCATTGTATACAAATAGAGTTCATAATCATTATATATTTACGTGAACCATCTAGCGTTTTCATTCAACACCTTGTCTAGTTCTCACGATGTTTATTATTTATCTAAAATAAAATTATTAATTTTTAAAATACTAACAATATGAACTGTATGTAATGTTCTACCTAGGCATAAATTTTTGCAAATGCATGCCAAATTATTTATTCGCTAATAGTAGGACCTATCCCAACAATTTATTGGTGCAGATCACACACAAAAAAAAAACAACCTAAAACCTAAATAAAGATTATTAGTTTTAATAAATTATATTAGTGACGTCGAAATGTCAACTTGTGTTGCAACAAAATCCCAAACAGACTCGGTTAGTTAGAGAAATACAACTGCAATTGCTAAAGATTATTGAGTCAATAAACATTCAGGTTACAATCAAATTTGCCAGTGTATCCTGTCAATAGAATATATGACATACTTTGTAGTTTACATAGAGATGTTTTAAAACATATTGGTTCTTGAAACTATGGGATAAGGTATGTGATTTAAATTCGAACTTTAAATAAAAAAATTTAAAATAGATATATTTTAATTTATTCGTAGATTTTTTGAGCAGTACTATTCATATTACTGTATTACGTTTCATAATCATTGGTTGAAGATTTGTACAAGACGAAATTTTTTCAATCTATTTGCGGCAAACCAATAGTCTCTAATAAATTCTCAATTAATTTAGATAGAAACTTTAATTACTTCTGTTACCTGTGCTTTAGGGCCTAATAATATTCCTTCAAAAGTTATTTATGTGCGAGAAGTTTACAAGCACAAATAGGTAATACAAATCACTGCAAATGTAAAATTTCCTCGCGGAAGTAGTAGTCGTCATTATAATAATAGGTTGTAGTAGTTAACAATGTATTGCTATTTAAATTGAATTTAAACGCTTTAATATATGCGTAAAGAGGATTCAGAATCAACTTTATGTTGGTTCGAAATTCTTTAATGATTTGAATAGATTTAAAGTTTCGTTTTAACTTATGTGTGTTTAGAATCAACTTAGGTTGATTCTAAATCTACCAATATTTCATTGTACGCCAATGGCGTCCCTAGGCTTTATGCCAAAGGTTATAAAAAAAAAAAAAAAAATCTACCAATATTCCATTCCGTAGTGATTTTGGCCGAAAGTGAAAAAAAAATCGGCTAAAGAAAATTATCGGCATTTGGTATAGTCAAAATATGCCATTACGAAAATTTCCGATATAGAAAATGAATGAACCTAAAATACGAGTAAAGTTGAACCAAAACCTTTGTAAATTCCGAAAAATTCCAGATTAAAGAACAAAATTAAATAGTACTGTAGGTTCGACCAAGCCGATAAAATTTATCGGCTTAGTCATAGCCGAAAAATTATGCTCGGCCAGAATCACTACCATTCCGATGCACAACATTAACGCTCTTTATAAAAATAATTTTGTTTAATGTGAATAATCTGTTATACGCTTGAATTTGCATTATTACTACCGTATTTTCGCGTAATAACGCCCATGAGCGTTATTTCGAAAATCGGTTCACCTAAAAATTATATGCACGACTTCGATGCGCGTCTCAAAATAACGCACATGTTTTGGATTAATGTAAATTACATAATTATGAACGATCAGCATTTATCTCAAAATAACGCACATGCGCGTACTCGAAAGGCGCATCAGGAAATTTTGAAACTCGATTATAATCGATTAAAATTATTAGATTTTAATCATAATCATCACCCTTGTCGATTTAATGCGATCGAGATTTTAATCGATTATAATCAGAATAATGCGCAGGTGAGCGTTATTACGCGAAAATACGTTAAATTCAAACCATTATCGTAATTAATCAAGTAACTGGTAATGTTTATCCATTACTTGAGTATTCCAAGTTGAAACCTGTAGTAAGTAAAATTTAAGTTTTCATTGTACTGGGCTTGAGCTCCCCCAAAAATGTGATCTAATATTCTGCACGGTCTGGTTTTAGTAGGTTTTAAATCAAAAATTTAAAGTCAATGCACAACCCGGAGTCATGTTATTAGAATATAATATTAAATTGGAACTTAGTAATGTATCTGAATAAATAAAACTTGTTTCATGCCTCTAAAAAATATTTATTCGAATATCTTTAATTATCTATTTTATTTTATTTGGTAGATTTTTGAGATATAGCAACGCTAGTGATGATCACCATGGTGATGAATAGCAAACAAAATAAGTAATTAGGGTTGGAAATACTAAGTAAAAAAGTTCAGAACCCCAAAAAATCTTGCGTGATCTAAAATTTGGACTATTATATATAACCCCCTCCTATATATCCCAAACTGCACCCTAACCCTAATTTTAGTACTGGTGTTGAACACCACTGGTCATTTGCAGTGCAGTGTTGTTGAAAATTCGTTGTGCATGTATTGTTTTTTGCACAAAAATTGACAATTACTGTGCAGTGTGTACAAAAAATAAAATAATATTCCTGTATAAAAAAATTTATTTGCACAGCATATTCGTGCACACTGGTGATTTGCAGTAATTTTCTTTATATTATTATTATTATTATTACTATATTTTATTGTTCCGAAGGACACTACAGACGGAGCCATAGTACACCCGATGTCTGTGTTAGCAAATTCTGGATTTTGATTGGTTGTTTATAATGTAGATCATAATTGGCTGATGATCAGAAAAATAACACAGATTCGTATGGGGGTGTAAAATGCCCTATTTTAAAATCTGATCTGGTACAGTATATTGTTAGAGTTAGCGTAATTATATAGTATGGTATTGTTTTTAAAATACCCTAAAGTCCCGAATATAAGCAACCCTCTAAGCCACTCATTTTGGCTGATTTTTTTAGAAGGGTTGCTTAATTTCAGCAACTTTTGAAATACTTAATTCTATTAATAAAAATTACTCTTAATTTTATTTTACTTGTAGGGTTGCTTATTTTACTTTTTCCATATTTTAGTGTTAAAATCTAAGGGGTTGCTTATTTTCTATATTCGGGACTTTACGAAGGTATTTTACAACTTTATACGATACAATTCAAGTCATCCATCCCATACTGATCTTCTGTAATCTCGTCCTGCGGACTTTTAATAGTTTCTATTTTCCTAGTTTAATAAACTATAGAATCAAAGTAATAATTTACATGTAAATAAGAACTAATATTCTGGTCTAAGTTTTCCGAATTTTCCCGATCGGAAAATCTTAAAGAATTAGATTGATTAGAATAAAGTTATCATAAAATTAAAACAGCTGATTTTTTTGGCCATCCACCTTTTACTATGGGGTAGGGATGTTAGGGTGCAATCCGGTCCTGGTCCTTAAAAAGTCTGGGTCCGAACTAGTTAAGGAACTAGTTCACCCCTGTCAAAAAAAAATTAAAACCGGCCCTACTCTAATGATTTACAGCTAATTTCAAAATTCGTGGACCATCCTAAAAATTTATCCCGAATTATTGTCAGGATGGCGGGTAGCGGGTAATCACGAGTTCTAGATTATATGTATTATTTATATTGATATCGATGTAATATGTTTATCAAAATACGTACGTATAATAAATACAAAAAATAAATACAATACATAAGCAAATTCCAAATAATGATTTTTCTAGACTGTTCTATTTGACATCTATATCAATATAATACATGACCTAGAACTCGTGATTACCCGCAACCCGCCATCCCGACAATAATTCGGGATAA